TCCATATCTTCCCCCCACATCCTCCCGAGGAGTTGTCCTCCTAGGTCATCCGCCACCCTGTCCTTTCCAGAAAGGTGCACAGGTCTCTGGGAGACATCTCCTTTATATCGGCAGGTATAGGCCAAGACTCCCCGAACACACACTCTCTTAAGCTGGGGCCACACTGCAGGAAGGTTGGTAGGATGGTGGATGGCATGTAGCTTACCTGGCGAACATCCTGCTATTTATAAACGTGAGTAGCAGAACGATGGTAGCCGCAGTGCCCCCTCCACTACCATCTAACCTCCAGAAACCATCCGAAGGTACGCCAGGCGTCTATCCAACCTAATCACTCGTGTTTGATATTCCAGCCTGGTAGTCTAGCTATGGAGGAAGGCGTAATAAGTTTTGTGACAAAAGAAGGACAATTTGGGACCCAGCAGACCCATTAACGAAAAATTTGCTCTTCTGGGAAAAGAAATCAGCTCCGAAGAAGATAAGATTTGTTTCTTCAAGAGTTTACTTCCATATATGCAGGAATTAAGCCCAGGTCATAGGCCTAGTCCGTGGGAAAATTCAAGACCTTGTCTTGAATGAATATGAAAAATTTGTCTGTGGAAGCCCCTCAATTTGGCCACGAGTATGATAGTCGTATCCAGTACTCATCATTATCAAATTCTACTGATGTTTCACGATTTTCGATGGAACAACAATCATTAGATTCGTATGGTGGAACATCTACAACTCAACAGCAAGATCCTTTTTTTCATAATACGTAACTCTTTTCTTTAACGTTTATGTTCTAATGTTTAGTTTCAATAATTTTGGCTTCATTTCACTGCGTCCAGGATACATTGCCCCTCCACCATCCACCTTTACCATCCACCCTCCAAGCGACTATCTAGCATCCTGCAGTGCAGCCCCGGGTTTATTGACGATAACTCCGGACACTCACTTAAGACATGCCTGACAGTTTCATCTTCCTGTTCAGACATCCTGCATAGAGGTGTATTCACTAGCCCCATAATGTGGAGGTGTTTCCTTAGTTGACAGTGGCCAGTTCGATATCCTACTGTTAAGCGTAGATTTTTTCTGCTCATCGCCAGATATTTCTTCGGCGCCAGCTTCCCAGGGTCGCCCAGGATGATCCTGACAAGACTGTGTCCTTTGATTCCATCCCATCTCTTTAGGGATGGAGCATGGGTGTGACGTTTGGCTAATTCCGCAATTGTCGAAGTCATCAGGCCGTAGGTGCCACTCTGGGTCCTAAAATTCTTAGTCCAGCCGCTTCCTTGGCTGAAGAGTCGGCAATGCGATTACCTTTACTCCTGTCGTGCCCTTTAACACACTTCAGGATAATGTTATCATCTACCGAGGCTTTGGCTAAATCTTGGTGGCACTCTAGTACTATCCCTGAGGTAACACGTTATCTGTTCAAGGCTAATAGGGCTTGTCACTATCAGTGGAGAATGTCACGTTGTTGCCAGAAATTCCATTCCTGGTTATTTCTTTTGTGGCGACTGAAATACCAGCCAGTTATATTTGAACCACGCTGATATTTTTCCCATTCCCCACTTAATCCTTAGGCTTAGTGATCTGGACTAAACTCCACATCCTGAACCTTCTTTGGTTTCTGAGCCGTCTGTATATATATATATACGAGAAGCAGTGGGCGAAGATGAAGATTTGTGTTTGGGGATGACCAGAACTGAGCTGTTCCTTGTAGTAAATCTGTTAATCGTAGTAAATGTTTTGAGCTTCTTCAGTAAGTAATCAGGTTGTCGAGTTTTCAAAACTTTATGTGTGTTGGTAAGAAGGTGTAGAGTTCTAAGTTTCTCAACATTTAACCATCCCGATTCTTGCATTGCTGGGGATATATGGTCGTATTTCCGTATACCAAACGAGAAACGTAGACAGCTATTCTGAATACGCTGTAGTCGGAGAGCATCCGATTGTTTCAAAGCAGGTCCATAAATACTGTCGCAATCGGAAATTTTTGATATAATCACAGACTCGCATAGTATAAGTTTTAAATTTGTGTTGAGCAAATCACGATTATGAAAAAGCTGTCTGAGAACGTTATAAGAAGATTGGTTCAGGTAGCTGGCATGTTTAGTAAAGTGAAGTTCCAGATCAAACCACAATCCTAAATTTTTTATCTCGGCCACGGAGGGAAGTATTTCGTTTTCGATGCGAACTTGAACAGTAGAGTTGGTGAGCTCTCTGTTCTTCTTAGCTCCGAACCTCATTATAGCGTATTTGTCAGAATTGAGCTTGAGCGTATGGGCTGTAGAAATGTTAAAGATGCCTTGGAGATCGTTATTAATATACGACTGAGCGGATGTAGACTCGCCAGGCGAAAAAGAGAAATATAACTGCGTGTATATTGCATTTTTTTACGAACAGATAAAAATCACAAATATACAAGCTGAAAAGCAAGGGCCCAAGGATAGATCCTTGTGGCACTCCCTTTAATACCGGTAGAGCATCTGAAACAACTCCATCCACAACTCTTTAAGTACGATTCTTCAGATAGTTTTCTAAAAGTGACACTGCTTTCCCAGAAAAACCGAAGGAGACAAGTTTGTCACACAATATCTAATGGTCTAGAGTGTCAAATGTTCATCTGCAGCTTGAAAAATATCGTCTGTAATTGACAGAAGAGCCGTGGTGGTACTCTGCTGAGGTTGTTAAGCGACTTGGTCCAAAGTTTTCTCTACGAATTCAAATTGAACCAAAGCGCTGTCAAAACAAACCGAAAAATCAACCAGGCCCTTGGCAATGATAGTTTTAATGAATCCACTATTCAACTTTGCGAAATTTCATTCCGGAGACTTTAGCCTCGAAGATGAACCCCGAAGTGGTCGAACTACAGTAATCCATAACGAGGATTTGATGACACTGGTGAAGACTGACCCATCACAAAGGGTGCATGGGATGGCGGAAGAACTGGGCGTCTGCACCCATGAATGACGGTTCAAAACGTATTGAAATGGTCAAGAAGCTCGAAAAGTGGGTGCCCCACGATTTGAACGATCGACAGAAATTGTCAAGTTTCGAGGTCTGTTCTTTTTTGCTTTTGAGAAACCAAAACGATTCTTTTTTCTGCAACCCGACCATCACGGCAGAGTCCTACAGTGAGGAAATCGACAAAATGTACCGAAAATTTCGTCAGCCGCAGCAAGCACTTGTCAATAGAAGAAGTCCGATCCTGCTCCACGACAACGCCTGTCCACATGTTTCACAAATCACCGTCCGAAAATTGAACGAATTAAGCGTCGAAGTTCTGCATCACCCGCGATACTCTCCAGACCTCTCGCCAATCGACTACCATTTTTTCAAGCACTTCGATAGCTTTCTCAGCGGTAAAGCCGTCGCCAATCAGAACCAGGCAGAAACGGACTTCTTCGACTTCATAGTATCGCGAGCATAATTTTTATGCTGACGGATATAATCGACTTGTAATATATTAGACAAAGTGCACAGCACACGCATGAAAACATGCTGCTCACAGTTGGCAGTTACTTACTTTATGTACTTTAAGCATTTTAGCGTACTGCTCCATTTCTTGATGTTCGAATGGAACCAAGACGGGTTGAAGTTAATTTGTCTCTAATATTATCACTTGCAATTCGGTTCTTTCATCAGAAAAAAAAGTTTTTACTCAAAAAGACAAAACCTTTGCTCTCTGTGATTGAATCGCTTTTCTTACACATAAGAAATTCAATTATTGTACTTCATTTCAATCCACAAATGTACCTGTTTTATTTATATAATAAGGACTGCAAAACAACTTCATTATAAGAGAAAAATGAAAAGGTCTGCAAACAAACCAAAAGAAAGCGGGGCAATCATCAATGACCTCAGGGGAAAAATAATATTGCTCCTACGAAAACTGACCTAAGTTCTGATTGTATTAACAAATATTAATGCACCGTGGCACATAACTTATCCAAAGATATGAAATACAATATTAATCCCTTGACTTTTCTTTAAAAACAAATCAGTTTCAGAGACGATTTTTTTCATGCCTACAGATGTTATGGAAATTAGAAAAATGCTTAAAGAAATAAAGAATTCAAACTCAGCTGGTTAGGATGACATGAGCATAAAAGTATTCACCAAGTTGCCCAACTCCGCTATCACCGCTTTGGTGGAAGCTATAAACACAAGCTTCATAACGGGTGTATTTCCGGCATGTTTAAAAGCCATTGTTATTCCCTTGCACAAAAGAGGTGACACTAACAATCCTGCCAACTTCAGGCCTATTTCTGTGCTACCTACCCTTGCTAAAATCATAGAAAAACTGGTTAAACAAAGGATTATGATGTTTGTGAAAAAGCATAATATTATTAGTAGCAGTCAGTTTGGGTTTCAGAGTTTGAAAAACACGGAAGATGCTGTTTCATCTACTTTAAAACGTTTAACTCAATTTAAAGAATCGTGAAATAGCAGCGTCAGTTTTTTGCGATCTTTCAAAAGCTTTCGATTGCGTGGATCATGAAATTCTGCTGCAAAAACTAGAAGTGTATGGCTTTAGAGATATATCTTTGAAATGGTTCAGATTATACCTGTCAGAACGTACTCAGAAAGTCAAACTCCCCGACAGCATATCCCATCTCTAGACAGTTACTTGTAGTGTTTCACAAGGATCGGTTCTAGGCCCCATTCTCTTGTTGTATATTAACGACCTAGCCCACATTAATATAACCGCAGAAATAACCCAATTTGCTGATGACACTACTTTATTTTGGCATTGCAAGAATGCAAGGGAACTGCATGATTTAATCAGCATGGATATTATAAAAATAAAAGACTGGTGTGATGCTAATCTCTTGTCATTTAATATCTCAAAAATTAGCATCATCACCCCCAAGTGCTCCACACTAGATATCTACCTGGGTACTCAATTAATAGAAAACAAAATGTCAGCAAAATTTCTGAGGTTACAAATCCNCCAAATACTGGATTCTACACTCCGTTACCGGCATATAATAATAGAGAAAATTTTCAATACTCACCTCTGGATTAGCACACGCAGTAACAAACTCTTGTCCTTTAACTAATTTAACAAACGAGCAATTAGGAAACCATCTCGCATGCTCTGTCCAGGGATCGTCATGGGGATCCCAATGCCGCAGCCCTCCATCGCAATGAAAACACCTGACCTGGTCGTTGAATCCTTCATAATAAAATCCAGCTTGAGCTAGTACTTCAGGCGTCTGAATCAAATCGTCTGACCAGGTTTCGAAGGAACGCAACCGGGATTCGACTGTGACAAAATTCAAGCTCTTTGGTCCTTTATGGGATTGCACACCTAGTTCTTGAAAGTTCTGTTGATCTCCCACCAGAGTTATATTTGCAAACGAGTCTTTCACGTTTCTTGAACCAGTAACAGAATTATCTGATCCATCAGCGTTTGTAAGTCTAGGAGCAATAACGTTGATTACAAACTGGCAGTTGGGAAAATGCCGTACGTGTTCCAAATCCGGATCATCTCCTGGTTCCCAAGCTCTAACAACGCCTTTACAGAAAGCGCACTTGGTATTGTCCCCTTCTTTGAGATAATAAAATCCAGCATTAGCTAACCTTTCTGGTGTTACGATTGATGGAATAGGCCAGTTGTCGAATGTGGCTAATCTTAGTGCTGCGGACACACGATATAATTCACCAGGAGGAACTTGTGCGGAAGATAAAGTAGGAATATTTCCTGAGGTAGAAGGGCTCATCACAAAAGGACATGTTGGGCTTAACGCTATATGTCGTGCCATGACACAATCGCCATAGCTCCAATTTGATAATTTAAGGTGACATGCAAAACATTCCACTTCTGAACCTCGACTGGTTGAAAAGAAGCCAGCCTTTGCTATTCTGAAGGGGTCTACTGGAGCATTAGTGGGCCATTCGTGAAAAGTTTGCAAACGGTGTTCTTCATAACACATATCCATTTTTCTGCCGGTTTTTTAGGTTATAACAGTGTTGTTATTCAATTCTGAGGATGCATATCATAATGCTATGTTCTTTTCAATGATCACAAACCCCCATCAAGTTTATAATATTCAGTATCCAACAACATTTATTGGTAGAACTAAAAATATATTAAAAAGATAAGCTGACCTTTTATTTATAAATCACAAAAACCAGCTGAGGAATGACAATAATGACATGTTGATATGACATCAATAGCAATAGAGTTTTCCATTGGTAAAACTAGGGGTGCCTTAGTGTGAAACTGAGACTCCATGGAACATGAATTTCAGCACGTGTCACTAAATTACAATACTACATAGCAGAAAAGATCAAGAAAAAATCTACTAATTACTGGAATACAGAATGATAATATTATTTTTCCATCATTTTAAAGTGACAGATTGACGATTTATTGTTCATTTGATCTAAATAATGATTTTTATTTTGCCCAATGAAAGTCTCGCGGTAACAGTGCCTGTACTCGTTGCAGATGGTAAGGGTATAAGAGTTGTTCCTTTAAAATTCGAAATATCGTCATATGATCAACATTTAGCTGGAAAGCAATCTTTCTAGTACTGGTAGTAGGTTGTTCTTCAATCAAATTGAGTACTGCTTCCTCAAGCTGTGGTGTTCGTA